ATTTTACATCATTGGAACCAACCACAGATTTCACATCATTGAAACCAACCACTGAATTCACATCACTGGAACCAACCACTGATTTCACATCATTGGAACCAACCACTGATTTCACATCATTAGAACCAACCACTGAATTCACATCACTGGAAGCAACCACTGATTTCACATCTCTGAAACCGACCAGTGTTTTCACATCATTGGAAACAACCACTGATTTCACATCATTGGAACCAACCACTGAATTCACATCTCTGGAACCAACGACTGATTTCACATCATTGGAACCAACCACTGAATTCACATCTCTGAAACCGACCAGTGTTTCCACATCATTAGAAACAACCACTGATTTTACATCATCGAAACAGACCACTGATTTCACATCATCAGAAACAGCCACTGATTTCACATCATTACAACCAGCCACTGATTTCACCTCATTAGAACCAAACACTGATTTCACATTATTGGAATCAACCACTGATTTCACATCATTGGAACCAACGACTGATTTCACATCATTGGAACAAACGACTGATTTCACATCATTGGAGTCGACCACTGGTACAACAACATTGGAACCAACCACTAAGATAACAATGAAACCTACCACTGGGATATCAACAATGGAACCTACCACTGAGATAACAACAATGGAACCTACCACTGAGAACATTAGAATAGAACCTACAACATTGGATTCTACCACTGAGACCACTACAATGGAACCTACCACTGAGCTAACAACAATGGAACTTACCATTAAGACAACAACTTTGGGTCCTGCCACAGGGATAACAACAATGGAACCTTCCATTGAGATGTCCACAGCAATAGAACCATCCACAGGGATACAAACAATTGAGCCTGCAACTGAGATAACAACAATGGAACCTACCACTGAGATCACTGCAATGGAACCTATTATTGAGATAACAACAATGGGGCCTGCAACAGGGATAACAACAATGGAATCAACCACTGATATACCAACAGTTGAACCAACCAAAGGGATAACAAGTTTAGAGACTGCAACTGACATAACAACATTGGAACCTAAGATCACTTCAATGAAACCTATCACTAAGATAACAACAATGGAACCGTCATCTGAGACCATTACAGTGGAACCTACCATCGAGATAACAACAATGGAACCGACCACTGAGATCACTACAGTAGAACCTATTATTGAGATAACAACAATGGAGCCTGCCACAGGGATAAC